GAATTTATTTGAAGTAAAATATTCTTTAGGTTTAGGTTTATTTTCTAAAACCTCTTTGAATTTGTTTAAAAATTCTTTTCTTTCTTGAAAATCCGAAATAGAGCTTATAGCTTCAAAAAGAAGATCTTGTTCTTTTGTCAAAACATTGATTTCTGGAGTTTCATCACTGTCAGAAGAAGAAGCTTGGTCATCATTTTGAATTTGGTTGACCTCTTCTTCAGATTCTTTATTAGAATCTTCCTCTTCATCAGAGGTATTAGCCAGGAGATTATTGATTTGGTCCTCTAAAGAAGGCTCTAGATTGAGGCTACTAATCTTTTTCTTTAGCCTGCAATACTTACTAATATGGCCAGGTTTACCGCAATTGTAACAGGTTACGCCTGTTCTGGGTTTTTTGGGAATATTGGTGGGGATGACATTATCCCCTTGTTTCTTAGGACTGGGTTTTCTATTGTACCTGCGCTTATAGGGCTTTTTGTAAGGTTCTACAGCCTCTTTCTTAGGGGCATGTTTCTTCCTTTTGGGAGAGCAGGATGGAAGACCAAACTGTTCGCAGAATGACCCTAATTCTTTCTTGCTCAAAGCTTTTTCTTTAGCAAGTTGTTTTTGGAGTTTATCTTTCTGGCAAACTTTAATACCGCTATGGATAATGATAGCAGTAAGTTGACCATAATCATAATTATCATAATTGATTTCTCCAGTAGGAGAACGACTTCGGAGTTTACTTCTAATAAGATCTCCGAATGCTTTAGGAAGACCATCAAGATATTTTTCTTTCCAATAGGCTTGGTTGCAATCTTCCCTAGTAAGGACCCTAGACATAAAGGTATCTTTATACCACTTGAAATGTTCTAAGGAATCACATTTGAGTTTTGAAAGTAACTCACCAGATCTTTCCCTCCAAAGAGAAGGATCACCTAGGAAATGTTGGGATATTGTGTATAATAACGTATACACAGCATCAGGGAGATGCTCATTGTCACTGACAATGGTTTTCCCTTTATCATTAATTTTAACTGCAGAGAGAATGTTATCTCTGTCAGCTTCAGTGAGATAATTATCCCACCAACCTTTGAGTTGGCCAGTAAAACCGGCAACAAGAATATAGACAATGGTGTCTTCAGGCATATTTTGGTTAGTAAAATAGCCCATAGCGACAACCGACATATTTTGAAGTTTGGCAATGATATTATATTCAGATAATCCATCGATATTCCAAATATAAATATCATTAGAATTAAAACTTTGAATAAAATCTTGTTTTTCTTCTAAAATAAGATCAGGAGCAGTAGCTCTATTATAATAAAGCTTGGAAGAATTTTTCCAATTATTGATAGGATTAATGGCTAAAACAGAGTCTGTTTCAGAACAATGTTCTGAATCAGCTTTAGAGATGGCATTGATAGTTTTGGCAAGAGACCTAGTCCTGGGTTTAGCACTGGATTCTTCAGAAGGTTGAGGAGTGTCGGGAATGGTAGTGAGGAGACTAGTAATTTTACTAAGCAACTCGTTTTGGTTTTCCTCATTTATTTTGGTTTTCTCTTTTTGCCTAAGTTCTAAGATTTTCTGCTTAGCTTTGGCGCTAATCTTAAAAGGTTTAAAAAGAGGTTTTTCTAGTTGTGGTTGGGAGGATGAAGAAGCAGCTTCTTCAATTTTCGTTTTTACAGGATTAACAAAGATTTTCTCTCCTAAAACCTGAAGGTATTTATTGGTATAATTGGCCTGTTCCATAAGGCCTTGGATGTCATGAGGAGTGATAGACTCATCAGCACTTTTAGACTTGAAAGGAGTGGCAGTAACAGGGTTACCGCCTTTGTCTTTCAAATTAGGCAATTGGTATTGAGATGTGGGCGGTAAATCACTTTGGACTATTTGTCCATCTTTGATTTGCCAGGTTATAACATTAGCAGAGGAGGTACTAATAACATCTTCTTGCCAGGGATAATTAATATTATTTCGAATGGTATAAGCATGATACCAATCAAAGAATGGAATATTTTGTTTGATTTTTTCGAGAAATTGATAGAATTTCTCTTGGATAGCAGACCTGTCTTTTCCCCTATAATTTTGAAAGAACCACTCTCTTTGAGGTTTCCAATCCTCAGAGTAAAAGTCTTTCCTAAGGGTTTCCTTATCTATAATGAATTTATGAAATAACATCATAAGACTCATTAAGGGAAGAGTAAGTTGGAGATTGGATACTCTGATTTTCGTCTTCTTTTTCAGAAGTCTGATAAACATTTCTAGGAATCCTAGAAGAAGTGTCTAAACCTTGAAGATTTAGAGAGGGGTCATGATTAACAGACCTAGGAATATCAGGTCTAACATAAGATCTAGAAGAAAAAGATCTCCTAGCAGAGACAAAATCAGATCGATTACTATAAGCATCGATCCTAGAGGAGAAAGAGTTTCTCCTATCAAAGGTTATTTCAACCTTTCCAGAATTGTCCTGTGAGATGTCCTGTATTTGAGGAGCAGGACGAGGAACACTAGGTGAGGCTTTATCCATCACCCATTTTTCTGGGAGAGTAACCTCATCCCATTTAATAATTCTAGGTAGAGAAACATTAGCCTTTGTCATATCAGTGATAAACAAAGTAGTTTCTCCCTTTTGAGGCTTGAGAAGGACTCTAGAGGCACAAGAATTCATGACCTTATACTGAATCCTATAGATTAATGCGGCGGGAATAGATCCCTCTTTCATGTCTAACCCATGAAAGCAAATATTAAGAAATAAGGAGTCTAGGATGTGTTCATCCATAAGACTCACAGTTTTGTTGGGAAAACAGTTAAAATAAATCGGACCTTGACCGAGACTGGTTTCAACTGTTCCTATGAGAGAATCATCAAATTTATTATGACGAATGTCTCTGAGACAAATTAAGACAGCAGCATCTATGTCTATGTCTATCAAAGGTTTAATTGCTACCTGAACACATCCTATGTGAAGGTACTTGTACTTTCTTTTATGGTCATTGAGGGAGGATTTAGACAGGAGATGAAATTCTTCCCCTATACCTTTCCCTAAAGGGATATTATTTTCAACAGTCTTGATAATATAATCAGAACTGTTTTTCTTAGGTTGGTCTTCAGGAACATATAAAGTATCCTGAGGAATGACTGGGATGGTCCAGTCATCCATACTTTGGTTGATCTCTTCAAAACGAACTTCTTCGTCGAAGAGGTTGTGTTTGGGTGTAATTTCAGGAGAATGATTCTCCTGGTCATTAAAGAGATTGGTTTTAGTTGGAGAGGAGGAGGAGGAACTGGAGCCAGAACAAAAGGAAATGCGAGAGAAAGAGCGTAAGAGTCTAGACATTATATAAAAACATCTGGCTCATCACCCTCATTTGGTTCCGTAACAATACATCTGTTAATTATTTATAACTTATTCAACTGGATCTGGTTATTTGTGGACTTTTTTTTTTTTTTTTTTTTTTTTTTTTTTTTTACAAAATTCTGAAAATTCTTTTACTATAGCCACCAGCTTCTTATGTTCTTTTGTTTCTTTTGAATACAGCATCGTCAAATTAGCCTTACTGCCCTTTCAACCATACGGGACTTACTGCTACAGCCCTATTCAAAAGAACGAAGAACTGCTGTACTTCCAGTAAAGGATTTTCTAAAAACAAAGAACTGTACAAAAGCAATATTTCGGTACCATTAGTTCGTGGCGTTGTTACAGACAGGGACGATCATTACTGATCTCACCCGAAGGGCCTGTCAGCTGTCCAGCCTATAAACCATGATTACAGAAATTTCATAAAGGAATTTAAAGTCCAGATCCAGAAGAACATAGTTACAGACAATTAACAGTTATATTCCTACTTCCCCATCAGGCTCTGATACCAGATTATAGTTAGTGGATCAAGGAAACAAAAGCAATATTTGTCCTAAAACCTGAAGGTATTTATTGGTATAATTGGCCTGTTCCATAAGTCCTTGGATGTCATGAGGAGTAATAGACTCATCAGCACTTTTAGACTTGAAAGGAGTGGCAGTAACAGGGTTACCGCCTTTGTCTTTCAAATTAGGCAATTGGTATTGAGATGTGGGCGGTAAATCACTTTGGACTATTTGTCCATCTTTGATTTGCCAGGTTATAACATTAGCAGAGGAGGTACTAATAACATCTTCTTGCCAGGGATAATTAATATTATTTCGAATGGTATAAGCATGTATATATATATATATATATATATATATATATATATATATAATGAGACATAATTTTTTTAAACTATATAAAATTAAAAATATATACATTTAATCTAATTCATTTATTTAACTTACATCTATAAAATTATAAATTATTATTTCATTGATCATTAGATGTAAGTTAAATAAAAAACTTAAATTAAGTGTAAGAATTTTTATCCTTACATTAATGTGAGAAAGTTTTTTTTTGTATATATGAGTTAAAAATTTTATGAAATATGAAAAATATTATCACAATTGTTTTGCAATTTGCACCTTTAACTATTATAATATGCATTAAATAATAATTAAATATAAATACCACGTAACAAACAAAATGTGGAAATGAAATTTCGATGTTATCGTTAATTCGTAATTTAGATTCATAGGATGAAGGTTAGAAAGTTACAAACCATTCTTCATTTTGTTCACAAAAGAAATTGATGACACAGTGTTTTTTTTTTTTTTTTTGTTAAATTAGTGACAAAGTGAATTTTATTCTGTCAACAATTAGTGACATAGCGTGAATATGAAAAAAGAAGCAACCCCATCACGGCCTTTCACCTTTTCTCAATATTTTATGGGCTTCGGAATGGGAAGGATGGGTGGGATCCAATTCTAGCCCAAATAACCACATATGAACAGCATGCTATGCTAAGTAAAAGTTGAGTACTCTTTAATTGACATAAAAAATGTTGCTTTCTCTTTTGATTGATCCCAAAAAAGAGAGTTTTAGGAGCTAACCATTCATTGAACCCATGGTTGAGTAATAGAATAAAGATAAAGGATAACGTAAAAGAGAAATTTAAAATTATATTTACTTAGGCCTAAAAGAAACTATACTTGGAATGAACATACACTTTGCTCATAAACTATACCGTCTCCTTATTATACCTTTGATGATGCAAAGCTTGCCATTCTTGGGGCTAATTTGACATGAGCATTCATTGTAGTCAATATTTGAGGTATTGACATGCCACCGGATATAACAATTTCTGTGTCACATGCAAACAAGTTAGATATATCCTTAAGCGTGACATAATAATTAAACAAAAAAAATGGTTCTAAAATTACTTGGTCAAGAATTCTCATACCTATCCCTTCTCTAACGGACAAATTAGGCCTCAAAATGTCATTTGGACTAATGAGAAAAATATCTCCAAGGTACAAGTGATTGGTGGGAACATAAACACAAAAAAGCTCTTCTTCATCTCTGTTCCTCTGCAGTATTACTGAAGAAGTGATGAACCCAAGTGCATATTCACCAAGACGAGGATGCCTTATGATGGCCACTTCCTTGAAAGCATTAGAGTTTTGATCTGTGAATTAAGTGGAAAGCTTAGTTTTTTCCAAATTCATTAATGCGTTGTTGAGCTGAATGCATAAAAGAAAAGACAAACAACCATAACATATTTTTGATTTAACATTGAGTAAAATTAATTTTAAAACATTAGATGTAATTGGGTAATATGCCAAAATTATTCTTAATCATAATTTTTTGATTAAAAGGTGTATCATATATTATAAAGTATGAAAATGAATATTGCTGGTGATATTCAAATATAAAATATCATAGAGATTCAAATATACCTGGTGATATTGCTGTACTTATCTGCTTGGAGGCAGCATATATATAGCTTACTAGAGGCATTTTCTTGATGAACCACTCGCCAAGGGTGAGAACCGAAGCTCCTAACCACGATGACATGAAAATTCCAACCAAAAAGATGAAAGTGATGGAAGTAATAAATCCGAGACCTGCCAATTGTCCAAATCAATTGATTAAAAAACATGATAATATCTCTTACAAAAATGTATGAGCTAAATTGTAACAATTTATTGTCTAGCGCTATAATCCTTCTGAGCGAGCCTATTATTCAACTTAATTTATATATCAGACTATCAGAGTCTTATATATCGGCGCCCTCTTAAATCTCTAGCCATTAATGTTCTGAGAAATGAACTCTAGATTATAGAATACAAGAAAGTAAAGATAACTTACCAAAAATATTGATCCCTAGATGATTATATATTGGGGAAAAGAAACCATCAACAAAGCGGATAAATCCCCAGGTGACATAGAATGTTATGGCGATGGGAAGAAGGATGACACTGCATATTACATTATATTAATGATAAGAATATTAAAAAGCAAATCACCACAAAAGAATGATATAAGAAATGCTCACTTACTTTACAAAAATTATCTTGGGAAATTTCTAAACAGTCTTTCACATCTTTTCTTTTAACAAAAAGGCTATCATTACTTCAAAAATAGGTGGTTCCAAACATTTCATGTGGCTCAAATAAGCGAATCCATAACCATGCAAATACCCACTAATACATTCATGGTATGCACACAAATATCAAAGTTGACTACGTCATCTATGTATATTATAGATAGCATTAAACCGAAAAAAAAAAGTGATCATCGAAACAATTACAAATTGTACATACCATCCTGACATAAACTTCTTTGAGGCCCAGCTACGAATCACTTTTGAAAACGCCTAAAAAGAAAATTCCAATTTCATCAAATTAGAAAAAAAATTGAGGAAAGAAAAAGGGTTGTGTTATTCATGCGTTTAAGACATTCTTTTTCAGCGTTGTTCACATCAAAGCACAGGATATAAATGGAGTAAAAAATGAACCTCCTGGCCAGAGTGATGTTGGGTGGAGATAATGGTAGGAGATGAAGGAGAAGATGATTTAGAACATCCATTTTCTGAGATGCTTGACACTGGAATCAGAAGCTCCAAATCTCTTGATGCCATCTTTTCCTTTTTCCTGTAAGTTTTCTCTCTCTCCCAAGAGATCACTTTAGGACTCAGGGATAGTCGGAACCACGTAACAGAACGTTAAATTCAACCAATAAGTTCCATTTGGCCATGCGTTGAAATCGTTGTATCAACCTCGTTACGTTCTGTTTGTGCTTTTACTTTTTAATCACGTGACTTGTAACGAGTGAAGCCACGTCTACACTGTAGTTTGAAGATAGAAATTCAATTATTTTCTTTTTCTTTTTTATTTATTTTTTGGTACATGGATTTGGAAGTGGTTCATTTTTATCCCGCTTTGGCATGGTCACTTTTATTATTGTGTTTCCTTTGTCCATGCTATCCACGTTTTGGGTTTTGCAAGACTTTATGCTTTTGCGTATTGCGCCTTTTGATATTGCGCACTTCATGCAAGCTAAGGCAATCCCATTAGATTTTATTAAGATTTATTAAAAACTATAAAAATGTAAAAAAAAAATTAAATTGGAAGTGAGAAATATTAAATTAACAGTCAAATTTACGTAATTTTTATATTCTTTTAATAAATTTTAACCAATAATAAAAACATACATCGCTAATATTTTTCTTTTAACGAAAACATCTTTTTGCCATTTCACCAATGGGATGGAGTACTGGTTCATCTCGGCTACTTAGTTTTATAATCTCAAATAGGAAAAATATTTACCAAGAAGTGGTGATGTAAGCAACATTTCAAAGACAAAACAAGTTGTAGTTAGCAGCGAAAAACATTTCTTAAGAATAATACGATACGTATAACTTCATATGCGAGGAACTACTTTAACATAAGACATGTTTGTTTCTATGTTACGTTTCAATCCCTGAAGAAAAAACGCAACTTTGAAGGCATTACACACCAAAACAAATATTCAGCCTTGGATACAAAACGAAATGGATTTTAGGCTTGGTGGCTCAAGTTCCTTAAGTATGTAAATGGAAGTTTTTCTAAAGAAAAAGTTAATCACCGTAGGCTAACCCATGTTCCAACAAAAAATCAATTAGACATATTTACCTTTTACTCAATGAAGATTTAAAATGAAGAAAAAAAAATAAATTCTTAACTTACTTTATACAAGTTATTTAACTCAAGTTATTTAAATAAGAATGGATAAATGTGTTTGCGTCGTGTAAAAATATAATTTTTGTACAATAGATGATAAACGATTCGATATCGCTTAAATAAAATTTTTGATTCAAAATTGTTATATACAAAATTTTTTTTAATGATAGACTTACCTACCATATCCAAATGCACAACTAAGATCAGATCCGGATTAAACCGGATAAGAAAAAAAGAATAATTTTTACAACTTCTGCTAACTTAGCCAATATATCTGCAATTTTGATAAATTAAGGCGCTTTATAATGAATATTAAACCATCCTTTGTAATTATAGTCCTGTGTGATCTAATTTATGAACCGAACCATATTTCGTGCTTAATTGATTGCATTTTTATAAGCCAAAAGTAAATTTGTAGCACAAATAATTTAATCGATCAATAAATGCATGGCCAAAATTTAAGAGAGGAAAACTTCATATATATTACTGAATTAGTATATATACATCATGGACCCCGGGATTTCAAATGATAACTCAGCACACATATCTAAACCACGCTTCACACACATTGTTAACAAAGCAGTTTGCTTCTGACAAAGACATTAAAAATGTGACACCAGAAATGGAGGAAGATCCCCCTCCATTCATGCACACTCTTCTTATTACAGAGCACTCAGGACCAGAACATTTCTTAGCGATTAAGAGAGAATAAATAAAATAACAAAAAGCGCCCTCCTAAGAACTTTCATGACTTTTAGGTTAGGCATTTCCTCCAACATAAACACAATTATTGTAACCTACAAAATAAACAAAGTGGGTGCATGTCAATATGGAATAATCAAAGCAAAACATCTCACTACAATAAATCAATGCAGTAGAACTATTTTTTTAACGTATGTTGTTGGATACATAATAAGAATTCAACAAATAATAGTTTTTATTAAAAAATGTAGAATTAATGTTATCATTGCACACATTGAATTATATGATATCTTGTGATTTTAAAAAAAATATTATTGTATGCCTTTGAACATACATTGCAATAATCGTTAGTAAATAGAACCACACGCGTAAATCATCTTCACACTATCCCTTCCGAAAACCTGGTATAACATAAACTAGATCTAAACAATACACGCAGTCTTAAAAAGTAATTCATTGCCACTGCATAAACATTAAAGAACTATAAGAAGTCAGAGCAAATGATCTTTTTGATGAATGACTTAAAACTTCAAACTTTTATGTTGTGCATGTATAACGTGGTAGTGTGTAAAACTCCTAAATAATCTATATTATAATTATTCAGTTTCTTGGCTTCGCATAAACTATGCATAAATCACATGGATAACTTACTTGGATTATATGTTGATAGTAACGCTGTTTGCGAGAAATCACAAGTCAATGGATTCCGTCCAGCAGATTGATACAAGAGATTCATTGCATATGCGGCATGGTTTACTAATGTGTTTGGTTCAAAACAAGCTCCGCCTTGTTGGATTGCGCTACAATCAATTCCCTGCCCACATGCATAATCCAGATTTGCTTGTAACTGCACATCTGTTAATCCGCCTTTTGGCACACACCATGTTGCACTTTTATTTGTTTTGGTTGGACTTGGAACTGTCAGCGTTGGAGTCATGGTAGAATTTGACACATCCGGAGTAGTCTTCAATCAAATTAAGAAACATAAATTATTAAATACTACTAGCTAGAACAACATTAAGATGAGAACTGTGAACATGATTAAAGATTGCAAAATGGTGGCTTCATGTGATCCATATAAGAATTCCGCTTTATTTGGTGTTGGACTAGCCAAAGGGCCTGTTGGCACTGGAGTCACTGGAGTTACTGGAGTCACGGGAGATTTTGAAACATCCGGAGTCTTCAAATCAAATTAAGAAATACATTGTTAAACACTACAAGTCTAGAACAACTTCAACATGAGAACTATGAAAGTGATGCTTCATGTCCATTTATCACCTAATTAATGACAATATTTAACTAACGGTAACATTGGATAGAACATAATAGGGTATTGTTATTATGTTTGAGTCATAGAATTGATTCATACCGGTGCAACAACGGGTGGCACAGGGCTACTAGTTTGCTGCTTGGAGAGGCCAGCATCATAGATCATGGATTGGTCAGGGTTGAAAAGCCCAAAGGCTCTCTCAGAAGCAGGTCCAGGCTTCAAGTCTTCATCATACAATGCAAAGAGGTATGTGTCTACTGATTTCCCTGGCATCAGTGGGGTCCCAACCATAGATCGCAAGTGTGCAATCAAATTACCGTTGTAAGCCTTGGCATTCTCAAGACTTGGACCAACCTCATCGTTGTCTCCTTTGTAGGGCCACCCTGTCTCCGCAACCACAATCTCAATATTCTTAAACCCCATCGAATCCAACGCAGATCGAACAGCATCCACCTACACACACATACCCAACAACAAGATCAACATCAACTTAGTGCCCGTTCAGTTAAGATTAATTAATGACATTTGTATTACTTATATTTAATGATTCAAAATAAATTTTATTCAAATAAATTGCAGTCAAATTTTAAACAAAAGACCTTTATTCTCTTTTACCCATCATCGCGAAAACTCCCAGGAAAACATAGGTCATGTTAAACTCCTACTTGAATCTCTCTAGTAATAAGCACCACCATCACTCCTAATTCTACAAAATTTTCACTTATTCAATTAAAAATGTCATTTACTTAATACTTTAGTAACAAGTTAAAGGATATATAAGAAAAAAGACGATGAGTCCAAGCAAACATGTCATTCCTGTTTATATCTTACTCTCACACATTCTTATATTAGACCCACGTTCAAATGAACAACATCATGCAAGCTTTTAAGATGTCCCACGAATAAAGCAAAAATACTCTTTATAAGAATTGAGCAACCCTTCTCATGAAATAAAATGAACATTTTCTTTACAATCATATTAGAACTCACCTGAGCATCGAACATGTTCATGTACTTGATATTGGTGTTTGAGTCAAGTCGGCCCGAGTTAGGCTGGAAAAGGCAGAAGGCAAGGTTATCTGCTCTACCAGGGTCGCTTCTGTAGGCAAAGTAAGGGTAAGGGTTGATGGCAAAGGGTGAACCAGTGGCATTGTTAAACGACAACAAGCCCTGCAAAACGGTGGTGAAACCAGGGTGGAATCTTCCAGCGGAAGGAGGTTCAGAGTCCTTCAGGACCGCCATCGAATGTACCGTAGAGACCTTAATCTTGCCTCCCAAAGAAGCAGCATCGAGGGCGTTTTGAACGTTCTGAATCGCCGGCAACATCTGGTTCATCAGGTTCGGGTCGTTCGAGGTTATCACCTCGTTGCCGACAGTGATGAGAATGATGTTGCTGGCGGGGTAGTAGGGAACAACGTTGGAGTTGATCCAGCTTTTGGCGAAGTTGGGGTCGGAGGCAAGTGCTGGAATGTCACCGTTCGCGGCTCCGATCACGATTCCTATTCCGGTGTTTGCCAAAGCTTTGATTATGGCCGGGTCGGACCCGTATAACCGGACCTTTCCGATCGACGTCGATTGGAGTAGCTTCGCCGTCAGCGACGGCGGTGGTAGGTTGTCAGCGACTTGTCCATAGTTCACGCCAATGAATGATTCAGAATCTGCAGAGTGATAATAACTTTCTCTGAGCACGGTAAAAAATTCAAAGATAAAGTAAAAAAAAAAAAAAAATAACGTTAAAAAAGGTGAATCGGAAGGTAGTAATGTAGTAACGTTCACTTTTTAAAATCCTCTTATCTATTAATTAAAAATTAAAAAAATATACGTAAAATCCATCCAACAATAAAATTCACGTAATTTTATAATTTATAATAAAATTTATTCAATAGGTAAACATGTTGTTAAATTAAAAGAAAAATATTTTTTTAATATTTTATTTGGAAGTGTTAAATGAATGAACAATTAAAAAAATAAAAATCGGATAAAAGATGTAAAAGAAAGTAGACATAAAAAAAAATATATCTTTTAAAAGAATCCTGAAGCTGCAATTCCAAAGAAAGGATAAACTGTATTGTATTGTTATTATGGCAAACTGAAGCTTTGATGTAAAGATTTTTTATAGAATTAAAATAATGTGAAAAACGGGAAAGTTCTTTCATGGGAGGATGTGAAAATAGATAGGGGAAACCGATGGAAATTGGTTTTGATTCGAGTAATACATATATATATATATATATATATAGAGAGAGAGAGAGAGAGAGAGAGAGAGAGAGAGAGAGAGAGGTAGAAAAGACTCACTTGCAGTGTTAAACATGAGAAAGATGGGAAGAAACGGTAGAAGAAGAGCAGAGCGAGAAACGAAGATTGCCATGTTTGAATGGAACTTGCAAGACTGCATTTCTTGTTGGACACCCAAGGGATGGGAACCGGAAATATATAAAGCGCAACGGTTGAGGGTAAAACTGTCAATTTCTAACTATGACATGTTGTATGATGCATTTCGAATCACAACTGTTAATTAACACTAGCTCGTAGGAAAAAAAAAAGTAAGTGAATTGCTACTTATCAAGATTATTAAAATTGGTTTTAGTAGAAATAATTTTGTAATATCCTGTAATTTTGAATAAATTATTGCAATTTTTATTGTGTATTATTTTAGCTTACTTTAAAAAATTGCATATGATTATATTTACTTCAACGGAACTGCACACGCATTCTAAAAGTAATGTTAATTGAAATATTTTAAAATTGATAAATCTATAAAGTAATATGTGTGGCTCCTTTTAAATAAAAAAAGTGAACATTAGAAGAAAATCACTTGAAGTTGAATACAACCCCTTGTATATCAGCAAACAGCTTTTCCTTACGTGTTAATTAAAGAACATTCTCTCAGTCGACCCGAAGTCACATAAAAGTGAGAGTTTTGTTTGAACGAAACAGAAAGTAAAGCATTTTGTTTTAGCTCACATCCTCAAAAGCAGCACATAAATAAACATTGAACTGGTTGGGACCTCGTGGGAAGTGGAATGTTATTTTGCTTCGAGGGGTATAAAAGGGCAAGTAAACTCTCACAAGGTTAGCACAATCCAACTATGCTTCTGATTTTTAGCACTAGGGGTGTTGCTGGCAATAAATAATTTCACACCCAATATAAAAAAATATTGATTTTTTTTTCTAATTATTATCCTTACCATAATTATAAAAAATTAATATTTTATATTCACAATAAGTGTAGGAAAAATAAGAAAACGATTTAAATGAGGCCATGTTTTTTTATTCGGTGACTGTATAGTAATCAAATTGATGAAATCTAATTTTATTGTATCTAAAAGAAGTACCTCTTCGTTTTAAGAGGAGACATTATTGACAATGGCATCCACACAGATTTCCAACTCGAACCAATGTGCTGCTGGCAAACTGTTCAACAAAACCAAGCACTAGCACTGTAATTCTTTATGACTCAAGTTAATGGTGCCAAGTTATAAGAAACAAGTCAAATGTAAACATTTTACGAACAATACTAATAAATATTAAATCAATAGTTAAAAAATTATAAATTTTAGAAAAAAGTCAGCAAACTTATGATATGATGTAAGCAAATTATTCATTGATTTTTTTAACCAATATCTTATATGAATTTGTTTAGAGAATTCAAAAATCTTTTAATTACTATATTTATATATATTCTTTTAACAAACCCCATATTTTAAGGTCAAATAGTGCTAATAGGAAAAGAAAAGCTAGTATAAAGAAGTGAGAGAGTGGCTATTTACTCTTTTGGCATGGCTCCACATCACATTAAAGATAACAACGAAACGAAATTAAAGGGCATTGGAGTTTTTTCCGAGACGACGGAATGGGCCACGCCCTCCACTTCTGCCAAATAATTGTCCATCTTCTTCTAGACTCTCAATTTCGTTTCTTAATTCGTAAGTTACCAAGTGAAACGTAACCCATTCGAACGACTCAAAAGTATATTCCTCATATATCCCCTGTAAATCAATTTCTCCATTTTGTAACTATTATCTTTATACAATAATTTTTTTTTTCACTCCGAACTTACCATGTATTATAAGCCCTTACTTTGAAGGGTAGGTGAGTGTTTGAAAATAGATTTTTTATTTTTTTTATATATATAGAAGGAGTGGTCAATGTGAAAAAGAATACAGCTTACTCAAGTGTGTGGACAAAGTTCAATTCAAAAGCATGTAATCTATCATTGTTAAATTGGATATTAGATCATATGCTTTTATATTCTACCCAATACAACTTCATTATAGTTTTTTTTTTCATTTTTAAAATTATCTTAATTTTTATGAATTATTTGAAATCCACTTATTTTTTCTATTCTTTTAATTTTTATATTGGATACTCACATTATGCTAACGCTGTTTTTTTTTTTTTTTTTTTTATTATTATCTTTGTGCTAATTCGATTGCCAACATTGCGGGAATAGTCACTGGATTTTGAATATTAACTGCACAGGTATTATTTTATATTTTTAAATAATTATATATAACCTAAATTATTTAAAAAATATTTTTTGATTTTTTTATTTAATTCTACAACTACAGATAATATATATCAAAATGATAAATATTTAATAAAATTAAATAATTAAAAAATTTTATTTTATCATATATTATAAAAAATTTAAATTAATTATTAATGTTTAATATATTAATAAATATAAATTTAAAAGATAAAATTCTTGAAAGTAAATTTTAATACTAAAAAATATAAAAAAAATTAAAATATGTTTTATAAAAGTAAATATAAATATTAGAAAAATCTAAAAAATTATATAAAATAATAAAAATAAAACTTTTAATCTTTAAAATTTTAAAAAAATTAATAGATATACAAGTAAAAATAAAATTATTACAAAAAAATATGTAATTTATACTTTATTTTTATTTAATTTTAATTTAAAATATACATGTGGTAAATTATAGAGAATAATAACTCTATTAAAGGTTTAACTTTCTAAATAATAAAATATATTAAAGTTGATTGGAAATGAATATAAAATTATATAAATACAGGAATTTCGCTGCTTAAAAATACCATTAATCACAAAAAGTGTCAAATAAAAAGAACACTACCTACAAGTGTTAAGGGATTTTCACATTATCATGTAAACGAATACTCTCTAGTTGTTGGAGAAACTGGATGTCCAAATATTCAATATTTGACTTATTTATATTTTTAATTTTTTTAAAATATTAATTACCATAATAAATTTAAAAAATGTGTCCAGATAAATTATAGTCATATAAGCTCCTATTTCTATTTAAGTTAGGCAAAATTATTTTTTTATTTTTAATTTATTAATTTCATTTTATTATGAGATGAAACATGTAAAAAATAGACACGTGTCTTGAATTTTTTTATTAGATAAAGACAAAATTAAATAGGCGTTTCGTCCAAGTCTCAGACGAAACAATCATTGGTGACACATAGTTTGAGAAGGCTAAAATGAAACTTTGCAATGCTGACACGTGTTTGAATCTTAATAAGGGACAAAATTGCTGAAGTATTAAAATATATAAGCATTCTCTTGTTAAAAGAGTGCAATTACACTTTATTATCCAAAAAAAATTCTATATAATCTCAAGGATGCAGAAATAAAATGTGCAAAAAGAGTTAGAAGAAATTTTTGAGGTTAGTTATTTTGTTTTTAAATTAAATTTTGAATATTATTATAATTTGTAGCTTATTTAAATTTAAATAGTTTAATTAGTGTAATGAAAAGATGTTACTAAAATTGATAGATATATTAATTAATATATTTGTGTATAAATTGAAATAATAAATTTAATTTTTTAGTTGTTATTACAAAAGATATAAAAATTATATTAGTAGAAGTTTAATATTATGTTGAATATTAATTTTAAAATAATATTATATATGTTAGAAAAATTTGTTTTAAATATGTGTAATATGTATAACTAATATAAAAGATTTTGAATGTATATAAGTTCAAGTGAATGTAGTAGTGTGTTTGAATGTGGTAAATATAATTTATTATTTCTTATTTATATAAAGTAGTAATTTTTATTATTTTCTTATAAATGCAGGATGAATGATGTCGTTATTTTTTTATATTTGAATGGAAAAATGTTCGTTAAAAACGAAGATGTGACATTTGAAGATAACAAAAAAAAAATGAAAAAGATTAGAAGAGGGATAACTTTTCAAAATTTGAAAAAAAATTCATGAAAAGTTAAATCTTAATAATAATCATGTTATATTTAGATTAATTTCACGTTTGTTGGTTAATTCAAGTGCTAAACAATATACTCCATTGAATATATGTAACAATTAAGATATTGATTACATGATTAGTGAGTATCAACAACAAAGTATTATAATTGTTATTGAATTATATGTGGATATTACGTTTGGTAAGAGTTCAAGAGCTGATTCAAATATGTTGGACTTAAACTTATCAATGTCACCGCCTAACCTTATATAAAAATATTAAACTGTCATTTTGGTCCTTGAGAGAGTTTGCATCTTACATTTTAGTCTCTGAAAAATTAAAAATATCACGTTCATCCTTGACTTTCATCTTCGTTGGACATTTAAGTCTATAGACCTAAATATCGTTAATAGATAGTAATGGAATGCTGACATGTCACGTTGAGTGGCACGTGTCAAAATGACGCTGACGTGTCATGTTAAGTGATATGTGTCATTGATTATGTGACAAAAATGATATCGTATGTGGTATAGTATATATTTTTGTTTCATTTTAGTCTTTGAGATTATAACTCATCGGTTATTTCAGTCCTTGAAATTGTCACCGACAGACATTTTAGTCTCTTAGATTATAACTCGTTGCTTTTTGGTTTTGTTTTGTTTTCATCTTCATATCTTTCCTTCATATCCTCTTTAGCTTCTTCTTGTGTGAATGTGATTACACACTCTTCTTCTTCGTAATGTTCCGTTGTATATATGCATGCATTCATATATAGTATTTAGGCTTTACTCGAGCACAAAATCTTGAGTTGTAAGTTATGAAACTATTATTGGTGTGAGCGCAATCTATTACATGGGTGTGACTTGAAGATGATGCATTGGGTTCTAAATAGCAACGAATAGTTTTGATGATGTTGTATGTTTATAATGGGTTACGACAACGATAAAGGTTTTAGCACGACTTTTCTATTATTTGACAAGTGAAATAACTCCAATCCCTCTTCCCTTCTCTTCCCCTTCTTACAAAGCCACCAACCATCTTGCAAATGGCAGCTCCACATGAACATTCTCTATTATCTCCTCCACCAGATCCTTTTTCAATAGAACCTCTACCACCTTTCTTCTCTTTCTCTCTCTTAGGGACTAAAATGTCTGTCAGTGACAATATTAAGGACTAAAATGTCTATTGGTGAC